CGGGAACCGGTCTGTATGTGGGATCCGAACCCTCGGGCGGGAGCACCGCCGTGCTTCCCAAACGGCGCACTATCCAGTGCGCCACCAGGCCGGCCCCCCTTTGTATGTTTAATATATTTCACAATAAAAAATTAAACAAAAATGTGATCAATTATAGAAAATGCTGTTGATAGGTCTAGCAAGATGAGGATTAAGAATTGATCCCTGGATCTGGCAGTGAAGTGCCTAGGTAAATGAAGTCAATCAAAACTACCTATAAGCAGAACTCTTCTAGAATGAAAACAACTTTTTTTGTTTTGTTTTGGAAGATGGATACAGAAAAGCAAATCTATCAATTCAAAAAAGTAAAAAGTAAGCTTTCCATAGCCAGCTAGCTCTATATAACTTTCTGGGGCAAAGGATTTTTAGAAGAGGGCAAGATTATTTCCCTTATTTTCAAAAACTCTCTATTCAAATGCATGTCATCATACCTGGGGTCTTCAAAAAGTTCATGGAAAGATTCCTATTATCTTTCAATTCCATTTTCTACAAACTTTTTGAAGTACCCTTGTAAAAGAGTGAACATTTAGTTCATAGTGAAAATCAGGATACTTCTGAGAATGAAAGGTGGGGCTACTGATAATTTTGCTGGATAGTGGCATAAAATGGGGTTATCCCAGGCAAACTGGCTCATATGGTTTTCCCATGAATAGGCCAAATTCAATTTAGTGCCCTAGTAAAAAGGTTTTCAATAAGAGATCATCAGGAAAAAAAGGGTCCTTAAATGTAGTCCAGGCAAACTTTTCTTCTGGGGGGGCGGCCCGGTGGCACACTGGAGAGTACGCCGCTCCCACTGAAGGGTTCGGATCCCATGTGGAGACCGGTTCCCGCTCACTGGTTGAGCGGGGTGCGGGCGCAACACTGAGGGTTGCGATCCCGTTGCCGGTCCCCGGTGCGGGCGCGATGCCGAGGGTTGCGATCCCGTTACTGGTCGGTAAAAAAAAAAAAGATTGTCTTCTGGGGGCCGAGCCCGTGGCACACTTGGGAGAGTGCGGCGCTGGGAGCACAGCGGCACTCCCGCCGCGGGTTCGAATCCTATATAGGGATGACTGGTGCGCTCACTGGCTGAGCGCGGTGCGGCTGGTCTCAAAAAAGGACCAAAAAAAAAAAAAAAAAGATTGTCTTCTGGCATGAAAATTATGATTATTAAGGGCAGGTTTCAAATGATACTTACTCAGTTGATGGTACACAGGTTTATGTAATCCTTGAAGTTTTATTGATGCCACAGCAGCAAGTTTCCCAGGGGGCTGCATTTTCCCATCTAAGAGATACCACACTCGAGCAAAAGTGGCCCATTGCTTGGGGGGTATAAAAAGGAAAAAAAAGAAAATTTTAGTTAATATGGAAATAATTGAATTTATTATTATATACCATCACATGTATTACAGTTAATGTCAACAATTACTTTGAAAAAAAGACTATCAGTACAGATTTGTTTACATTTTCTATCTCTGAAAAGGGGTCTTTTCTCATTATTCTGCAAAGGTAAACACAGTATTTTTTCCCGTCTTCTATTAGCAATATGACTCATGCTTTGTTAAAAACATTCCCAAAGATATATTTCACTTTACCTTATGACTTACATTTTCTGTATAACACAGAATAGAATCTGGAGGGGTAATGAGAAGCTCTTATGAAAGTAGAAGCTGTTTATGAAGGTCTTCAAAAATTTAAGATTTGTAGGTATGTTATATTGAAACAACTGAGTGGCCAATTGGAAACTGAAGATGATTCAGAGTTCAATTCCAGAGAAGAGTTAAATAGAACAATGTAGTTGGGAAAGTACAGATGGATGATGTTGAATAAATTTAAATTGTAAAAAGCTGCGTCAGACAGACATTTTTAAGTTGCCTCAGGCTAGACCACTGTTTTTGTAAAATTCATCAGAGTATTCAAACTCTAAGAAAATTCAAGCCCAGAATGATTTCCACCAGATGCTTTTTCCATACACATACACGAGGCTAAACAATGCCGGAAAAAATACAACTAGACTAGCTGGTTTTATTTTAGATTTAATTATCACAAACTTTAAACTAGCCTATACATAAGCAAAAGACCCCCCCCCATCCATTGCAGGCTAATACTTTGATAGAAAAAATATACTTTGATTTAAAAAAATACAAATGCTGCCACGATGTCAAATTGCTATAAACGTTTTTAAATGTTTAATTTCATTTGCTGTACTTATCTGATCACGTACAGGTGACAAAACAGTCCAAGGGAGGAACCACGCTTGGAGCAGCACTAAGCTAAGAGTCACCTTAGACTAACATATACAAAACTAATTCCTACCTTCCACCCGAAACCTGCTTCAACTTCAGCCTCCTCTATCTCAGTTGATGGCACACCCTTCCGGTTGTTCAAAAAGCCTCGGAGTAATCCTATTTCTCCTTTTGCTGTCCTTCAGGAAATCCATTGACTCTTCGAACAAAACCTGACCACTTTTGCAGAAGCCAGCGTTACTAGTCTGGCGTATGCACCATCATGGTCTAGCCTAGATTACTGCAATAGCCTCCAAACGGATTTTCTGCATCTGTCCTCCGCTAAGCCCCATCTCTGAAAAGTCTATTCTCGACCCAGCAGCCAGAATGCCTGTTAACACCTAAGGCAAATCATGTTACTCCACAGATAAAAACCTTCCGACAGGCCCCCATTTTACTCAAAAAAAAAAAAAAAAAAAAAAAAGTCCATACAGTGGTCTACAATGCCCTATGTGGTCCACCTTATTACCTCTCTTATCTTCTCTCGTAATTCTTTCCTTGGGGGTGGGGAGGGGGCTTGAAAAGAGCTGGCTGAAAAGAGCGGGAACGAGTACCAAAAGGACTATAGCAAGTGGCGGCCAGACTCACGACCCTCTTGTATGCGCTTTCCCAAGGAACCTCTTGGCCGAGGATCTCGGCTTTCTGCCGACTCAGCTTCATTCCTAAACCGGCCGGAATCATCGCTCTCCTTCTGCCAGTGTAACGAACCCCCAATCAAGCCACAAGAGTCCGAGCTCACCTGCTGCGCCCTAGAGAAACTCGACATACTCCCCTACTGCAGGGACCGTCCTTCTTCCAAGAGCCCAGCTCGGGCAGGCAGCGTTACTGGCCGGGCAGGAAACGCACAGAGCCAAGCATTACAGTTCCTAGCCCAGCCAGCGCTCGTCTGCTTCTCCGCCTTTTCTGGGTCCCCTCCAGTCTTCGCGCGGGAACACTTTCGTTATGAAAGGAGGAAGTAATGTAGTTATTGAGGGAATAACTCCCGAAAATAACCGGCTCGCTGGAAAAGTGCGGAAAAACGACGGAGGACACCATTTCCAGCCGACCTAAGCGCAAGGGAACCGGAAGTTCGTCACAGCGCGCGGCTGTTTGGATGTGGAAGTCGAGACAGAAAACTGGGGGTAAACTCTGAGGAGATGGATCGGTACCTACTGCTGGTGATCTGGGGGGAAGGAAAATTTCCAACGGTGGCCAGTGGGGAGACGGAGCATGGGCCAGAGGACTCGTCGGTTGAAGGTTCCGGAAAGCAGCCGGGTAAGCGCTGGGCTGAGAAAGGGCGGGAAAGGCTTGCGGGGAGGGGAAGAAGTTTGAGTTTGAGATCAGGTTCTACTGGGGAGGGACCTATGTCTAGTTGTCCCAAGAAGTAGTGACTATATTTGGGATAGGTCTAATGAGGGCTGATTAGTATTCATGAAAAAATAGGGACAAATTTGTCGATGCAAGATTCCCGCGCCCAGAAGTTCTTGGCACAGTCAAAACTAACTGAATTCCTTGTCTTAGTAATGGAATTTCTGCTCTTTGAAAACAAACCTATTCCATAAGTATTTCTGCCTCCTGTGTTCCACATGCAGGTTTTACAGAAAGGAGCAAGATGGGTGAGAGTTTTGCTGTCCTGTCTAGAATTTACATTCTAATGGGAGGAAACACCCCACATATTCGAGGAAGCTAAATCTTAAAAGCAAATGATAAATTTTAAACGACTTGAATTTGCACTGCTTTTTGGTGCTCCTTTCTAGACTCTGTATTGTGTTTTATTTACTCGTTTGTTTTCATCTAGTAGGCATTTTGAGGAGGTTGTGTATGAGGTATTGTGACATAGTTTCCCTTCTCAAAATTATTCTTTTGGGGGAATTTTGGGTTTGTGCCAACTGGCTGGAATGTACAAATCAATAGCCTTTCCTGTTTTCTTGCCTGCTTTAGGTTTACTATATCAAAACTTGAACAGATCTTAAGCAGCTTGTATTTCTTTTATGTACAACATATTGGTATTCAGAATCTCTGATGGTGAAGTTGGAATAGGCCTAGATTATGTAACTCTTGAGCCTGTTGAGTGAGTCTGTCTTTTCCTTTTCAGACTTCACAGCAGCAAATGTTTATCACCTCCTAAAAAGAAGCATTAGTGCTTCAGTTAATCCAGAGGATAGTACTTTCCCTGGTAAGTATAACAGAAACCCTTCTTTTTTCTAGCACAACATTTGTATTGGAAATTAACCTAATTCGATCGCTTAGGAGTACAAGAAATATTTGTTTACTGTGTACAAGGCACTGGGATGTGGAGGTACCTAAGGGAATACAAAACTGAAAAAGACATGACCTCTCTCTTCTTCATGATTGAGTATTATAAAGTTGTTATAAAAATTATTCTAGGTTCTAAGCTTGAGTTTTGCTCTTTACGAAACTTTGTTGTGCATCTTTAAGTCCGTATAACATAGGGTAATGTGGCATTATGAGGAGGATTTATGGTTTTGTCCTGAGTAAAAATGCATTGTTAATGCTCTTACACTTCTTACCATTTTTCTTTTCTGTACTTAACTTTTACTGAGTCTCGTAAAAATTTTTAATAATTGTTAAATACAGTGATCTTTTCTTAGTTCTTACCTCCTTTGGCTTTTGGAACTATTTCACTTTTTTGATCACCCTTAATTTGTTAAATCTTTCCTCCTTTTGCTTCTATTGTAATTATGCAAATGTATCTACTTAAATACTTCACTTCCTCTTCTTGTCTTCTATCTGAGAATGTCCTTTAAAGGCTCAGAAAATGGAAAAGCCAAGACAGACGAAGCCCTAAAAGCTGAAGGATGTTTCTGTAGATGCCAGGGAGAGTGTGCTCATTTTAATAACTTTTTAGTCCTTATGACTGTACCATCTGCTCATTTTTCTTTTCTTTCATCAGAGAACCTCTTGTCTCTTGGTTTCAACTATCACCACTGGGAAATGATTTCTGATACGTATGTGCAGCACTAGCCCATTTTCCAACTCTTAGTAGTGCTCTCATTAATTTTTCAAGTTGGTATAATTTTAGTAAATACTTCTATTATTGCAGGAAAGATTTTCATTCGTGCTTCAAATGTATGTGTAAAAGAGCTCTTGAGAGCATTCTAGGGGTTCTCATGATAAGCTTAACTTTCTGCTTGTGTGGATAGAAGTTTTTTATACAGGCAGACCTTGTTTTGCACAGTATTCTGGGATTATAGAAATGGCTGCAAGTTGGAGCCATGCAAATCAATAATCAGTGGGAAAATTACAGTTGTTCCATGACTTTTAAAACTTTTTGTCAAAATGTTAGAAAAAAGTCTCTAAAATATGTTTCGGTAAGTGAAAAAGGTAGTAAAAGTAATATTTACTTTGTATACTGTAATTTGAAACATTGAGAATTAAAGTATTTTATTTTTTTGTAAAAACCTTATCAAGAGTAATTTGAATAGTGCTTGCCACCTTCTTGTCATACTCACAGAATTATGATACAGAGTGAGCATCTTTTCTATGCTTTGGCAAATCATACTCCAGTTGTATCAGCTTCCAATGTTTTATCCTTTGCACTTTCAATGTTCTGAAATATCTGAGTACTGTTAGTGCAAAGGATTTTGCTGACGGCATTTTCTCTGGGACATCTTCATCCTTTTCATCATAATATGTTTGTCACAACAGCTATTTGTAGGACTCCATTTATGTTGGATTTGAGTATCACTTTCTGTTTTTTTTTGTTTTTTTTTTAACTTTTTGCCAATTCCCTCTTCCAATTATCTATTTATGTAAAATATCACATGGGTTTACCTGGAACACAAGGAGGCAACACAATTACATTTTTTGTCATCTGTGTGTGAATTGAATAGCAGGTGTGCAGTGATCAACTGGTGACAGACTTTGAGAGTAGTAACATGATTGGTCACTGATCATGATACACATCTTTTATTTATGTAGTGATTTGTGGACTGAGAATCTAGCAGTGATGTTTTACGTTATGCAATTGTACTGAATTAACATACCATGGTAATTGAAGTTTGAACTGGTTTTTTGAGGGACTGGTGCTATTTAAACTACAGTAGCTGAAATTAGTGCATATGTATTTATGTAGTGATTTGTGGACTGAGAATCTAGCAGTGATGTTTTACGTTATGCAATTGTAGTGAATTAACATACCATGGTAATTGAAGTTTGAACTGGTTTTTTGAGGGACTGGTGCTATTTAAACTACAGTAGCTGAAATTAGTGCATATCAGAACCATGCACGAGAGAACTGTCGTATTGAATGGACCATGCTAGGATTATTGCTTTCAGTAATTTGGTAAGTCTGAGGAACTGGATGTATACAATATGATTATAATAGGGATAAGGCTGGAGAGGTAGGCATAGCTGTGTGGAGGACTTTGTAAATCATGTTAGCGTGTTTGGATATTCTCCTAATAGTAATCAGCAACGATTAAAAACTTTAAAGGAGGAAGAGACATGGTCAGGTCTGTGCTTTTGAAGTATTTTGGCAGCAGGATAGTAGACAGATCAGAGAAAAGTATAGCCATTAGGGGGTTGCTGCAGAAGACCATCTGAGGAATGGAGGAGGCAGCTAGGGTGGAGAAAAATGGACAGATCTGAAGGAATTTATGGAGGTTAGAATTCACCTGATTTAGTATTGAATTGATGTGGTTAGGAAAAGGGAAGGATGAGTAAGGAATCAAGGATGACATTAGGTTTCTGGCCTGTGTGACAGTGTGATGGTGGTGACATTACTGAGACAGAAGCAGATTTGGAAGGAATATGACACCTTCAATTTGGAACATGTGAGTAGTTGCCCATAAGATGTCAAAGTAAAAATGTTTTGTAAAAGATACATGTGTCTGGAACTCAAAATGGGGGGGAGGGGCTGGAGATACAGTTGAAGCCATGAGAAAGGATGGGGTTGCTTATGGTTAGTGGGAAGAACAGGAAATCTCAAACTGAATCCCAGTATTTAAAGGAACTGAACACTAGTTTTTAGAGAAATGAGAAGGAGCAACCAGAAAGATAGGTGCCATAGAAGCCAAGTGTTTTAAGGACAGAGTGGTCAAATATGTCATCTTGATTCTTCTGTCTTATTCTTATGCTGAGAGGTCAAGTAACAACAGAACTAAAAACTGTTAGATTTAGTAACAAGTCAGTTATTGGTGAATTTGGTGAGTATAATTTCAGTGGCTTGTTGGAGATAAAAAACCAGATTGAAATGCATTTGGAGGTGGTGGGAAAGTTGAGGAAATGGAGGCAGTCAAGTGTAGACAGCACTTTCAGAAAGTTTATCCTTGAAGAAGGATAAAGAAAGGGATGCGAATTTAAAGGGACCCCCTTTAAAAAAATAATTTGAGAAATACTTATGTGTATTTAAATGCTGATGGGAAGGAACTGACAAAGGGGAACAGATTGAAATGCAAGAAAGATAATATATAATCAGTGGTCTAGGATTTCAGAGGAAGTTTGATGGATAACCTTGAATTGGAAGGATAATACCTCTTACATGGAAAGAATGAAGAAAGACTTAATGGGAATGCAAGTAGAATTGTATGTTTGATGGGTTCTATTTTGTGTAAGGAAGTAGGTGAAGTTTACTGCTGAGGTTGTTGGAAGAAGGTGGTAATAGGCACTTAGCGTCTTACATATCTTCTATGAGTTAAGTCTTGGTTACCACATTTCTCCTCCCTCCTTTGAATCCAATTTTTGCACATAGATCTAAGTTATTCATGACTCCACTGACAGGTACTGTGGAATGACCCTCTTGTAATACTCCATTCTTCAAGAACATCTTCCTTATCCTTAGGCTATACTTACTTTTTAACTCATGTGTCTAGGCAGGCTAAACCAGAGCTGCATGGTCTTTGGAGAGGGAATTGTTTTTACTAAAATGGCTTACGTGGTTTTGTGTTACTCAGTAGTAATTGAGTAAGTATATTTTTCAACATCTTTATGGCAGATTTTAATCTGTTTGAAATGGTAATTAAAATAACAATATGAATTTTGAATTGTGATGAACTGAAACAAAGTATTCATTGTGAGTGAATAATTTTGCTCTTTAGGCAGATTTTTCTGTTTGAATTTTTAGCAGAGATTTAAAAAAGATCCATGTATACATATATATAACTTGGAGAACTATATAATATGGTTCAAAATTATAATTATTATGTGATTCAAAAATTATGTAATTCTCTAGGCATATATGCTGTGACATCTGCTTATTTATGATATGCCTTTCTTCTAATTGTGATTTTATTTTCAAGCCTGTTCAGTGGGCGGTATACCCAGTTCCAAGAAGTGGTTCTTTGCAGTGCAAGCAATATGTGGATTTTATCAGGTAATATAAATTTAAAAAGTAGTTATTAATGAATATCTTTGTTAATATAAAGAATTTTATGAATTCATTACTTAGTGCAATTTTTTTATTTATTAGTTTTGTAGTTCTGATTGGCAAGAGATACATTTTGATACAGAAAACAATGAAATTGAAGATGTTCTTCAAACAAATATCGAAGAATGTTTGAGTACTGTTGAGTGTTTTGAAGAAGAAGATAGTAACAGCAAGGAATTGATGTCCTTGGCTGAGTATGTTTATTTGCTTTTTATACTATCTTTAAAATATTTAACACGAGACATTTTAAGTCATGTGGGTAAAGATACATATTTTATTAACTATAGTGTGGAAATTTTAATTAATTGGAATGTTCAACTCTTCATTTTGGAAGATATTAGGAATTTAGGCCTTTTATCTGAATAAAATTCTTTAAAATGCAAAAACTGTATGTGAAAATGTTTTGTTTTTTAAGTTTACATAATTATAAGAATCATAAAAAGTGATATTTTAATAAATATGTCACTTTCTTAAAGATAAATCTGCCTGATACTGTATTTTAAGAGCTTGAATAGAAATGTTGCTTAATGTTAATAGCTGGCATTCAAACCAAAGTATCATTTTCATTTTGCTATTTGAGGCTGAAATATGTGATCTTCAATTTATGTGTGTCTTCAGCATTTCAGATACCTTTTAAAATCCGTAAAGATTTTTTGAGGATTATATACATGATTGAGTTCACTTTTAGGTTTTTTGAATTGTGGTATAATATATAAGTTGATCCAGTTGACATAAGTTGTGATTAAAATATTTTTCTTCATAAGATATCCCATTTCTGAATCACAGTTAATGCCTTTCATTTTAGTTTTCCACAGTATTTCATGGCAGAAAACTGCTTTTGTTGTATTTTCACATTCACATATTATAAAATATCTGTAAGTAGCTGCAGACTTTAAAAATTCCATTTTCCTATTTCCAGACTATATTTGTTTGTACTGATTATTGAAGGGAGACTTTGTAGAACCAGGGAAAGAGCATTGAACTGTGGGTTGGTAAAGTGGTCTCTAGTTATATGATCTTAGACCAGTCACTTACCATGTCTGGTCCTTTATTTTCTCATCCATAAAGTGTTGAGGTTCTTTTAGATGATTTCAACAGTTCCTTCACACTTAAAAGCTCTTATCATTCCATGTTTTCCCAGCCCTGTTAAAAGATGACAAGTATAAAAGTAAATATTTTTAAATGGCCTAAATATTATTTCCACAAGAGGGAGCCTGAAAACTATAGTTTAACATAAAATTCCTTAAGTTTTTTTAGACAATGGTGGGTAGGTATTTTATATTAAGGGATTTAAGTACCTTTATACGTTATGATAAATTATTTGGAGAAAAAAATTTATCATATGGGTAAAATTAATAGGTTTTGAAGAATCTAAGGAGGGCATTATATTCTCCAGTCAGGGCTGTTCAATGCCGTTTGGTGAAAAGCCATATCCTTCTTTATTAAACACTTAGCAATACCTTTTAAGATTCAGAAAAATGGTCTGTTATAATGATTTATATTTAATATACTAGATATAATTTAGAGAGTTTTATTTCCTTTTTCATTTGTTTGTGTGTTTTTTTGGGTGTGGGTAAGAACTTGTACTTGGGGTTTGAATCCTAGCTTCCATATGTACTTTATGTAACCTTAGTCAAGTTATTTCAAGTGGAGATAATAGTAGTATATAGTAGATAACATGGGATTGTTATCAGGATCAGATGAAATAGTGCATCTACCATTCTTAATAGTGTCTGGTGTATAGATCCTTTTAATTAATATTACCTATTATGATTATATATAATATGTATGTGTTGGTTTTTTCCCCTAACTAACCCTTTTACTTTAGTCTCTATGAAGAATCTGCAGAAAATTTGCATCAGTTATCAGACAAGCTTCCTGCTCCTGGTAATATTTTGACTGCTTTTAATAATTTGTATCTTATGTTACACTTTTTATGAATGAGTGATAAATTAAGTCTTTAAGTTAGTGTTCTCACTTTTAATCTTGAAATATAAAATGAAAAATAATTTCTTAATTGAAGTTGATACAAAAGGTACTACACTATTTTAATAAAATATGCTACTAAGACATTATAGTTCTTTTCATTGTTTTCATTTAGTTAGACAAAAAGTAGAACTTAGAAAGTTAAATACCCATCTTTGTTTCCTTATTTATTTATTACTGAAGAAGAATCTTTCCACTGTATTATTGTTTTCCAGAGTATGTTCCATAGAACACTAGTCCTATAAACAACTCCTGGGAAAAGGTTCTTTAACCTAGATAATTTGGACAGCATTCTTTTTTGGTGAAGTATACACATTCTCAAATGGAATATTGTACAGTAAAAGACTCCCTGTACTCAGTATTTTTTTTACAGAAAGCATTTTTCCTATATGGAAAACATATTTTGTGAAGTACTGTATCATACTAGTCTTAAGACTTTTTTGTCTAAAATTCATCTTTTTTTGTGTTAATCAAGTAACTTACCTAAAATTTGGTACAATTTGGCATCCGCACATCATTTTGAAGAGCTTTCTTTTCTGAATATTTTTATTATTGGAGGTCATTTGTCAAAGCAGATATTTGCTGTATCTATTATATGTCTTACATTGTACTAGGAGCTGAGTGTAAATGATGTGTAAAGCATATGTAATTACCATAAAGGACCTTATATCTCACATTGAGTCCTTTTATTCAAGGAGATCATGTTTTAGTACAAAAAGTCACACATGGAAAGTAACTGAATGCATTGATAAATAAATATATCAGAATTGTGAATGAAATGTGTCAAGTTCAAAGTATATATATATATATAGTTGCTGTTTTGGCAAATTAGAATACTTTCATTATCAAATTTTTATTAGGTTTCTGTTTTGAGTTTTCTGTTCTTTCAGTAAATTTATAATTTTATAACATTTAGAGAATTGAAAAGTTATCTTTTTTCTCAGCATCCAATGATGTTGTCAGTATAATTCCATTTTCTGAGTGTTTCATTGTCTTTTTAAAAGAGAAATAATTTATTTGAACATTACCATTTTGTACTAATTCATTCCCTTTTGGATAACAAAATTAAGTGTAGAAAAATATAATGAAAGTGCACAGGTTTTTTTTTTTTTCTTTTTTGAGTATGACAATAGCATTGATGATCTTAAGAGTGATGTGTATTATTAACCACTGCTACAGAATTGGGAACTAATTATGATATAGTTCATTTGTTTTCTAGCATATGCTAGCTATTTCAAGATAACATGGCTTTAAATCAAATGATAAACATTTAAAAATTTTGATCTCCTAAAGATGTGTATTGTTTTGAAGAATTTCAGAAATTAAAGTTAAAAATCCTCCTTCATCTTCTAAATAAACATAAAATTCAATTGTTTGAGGTACTATTTTGAGAATGTTCAATCTATCATGTTTAAAAATTATAAAAATTCCTTTTTCTCTTTCTAGGTAGAGCAATGATAGATGTAATACTATTGCCCTCTGACAAAGATCCTCCTAAATTGAAAGACTGTTTACCTACCATAGGAGCATTAAAACATTTGAAGGAATGGTATTCCGCAAAAGTTACTATAGCAGGAAATCACTGTGAAATGTAATCTTCTTTGTTCATATTTGATTATTGTCTGTGTTGTCCATTTTTACATTTAACATACTACTCTTAGACTCAGCATTTGAAAATTATTTTAATGTGACAGAATAAAGTTTTATGTTAAGCTGTAATCGAAGATTTATCTCTTGAGAAGAATGTAGATTTTTCATATTTCATATTTATATTTCTGAGAAGTTTAAGTTTTTAGTAGATATTATTGATGCTGTTTTATAACTGTTATCGAGTATTTATTTTCCAAATACACTGTGTGCTTTTAAATAGGCTTGTATTGTCTAGTAAGCAGTATGATGAATACCATGGATACATGGATACACTGGATTTGTAATATTACATTTGTTTTTGTAACATATTTTTTTGTGTGTTATGTGCCAGTGTAGAAATAAATATACACTGTTATATTTTATGACATTTTAGTAAGGATTAATTGTATATTACAGTTTTGACCCTTAATAAATATTCAAATTAGATTTATTAACTTTATGATTTTTTTTCATTCAAGAAGTTTTTATTGCACTAACTTTATGCCATTGCACAGCCGTAGATGCTGGTAAATTAAGAAAGTAAGAAGCCATGATCTTTTTCATGGAAGTGCAGGGAGAAACAGGAATGCCAACAGTCAAGATAGTCTATGATAAATGCTATTATAGAATTCCATATAAAGCTATACGGAAACCATTTAGGAAAGCAGTTCTCTTTTTGAAGATAAAAAACCCACATTGAGTGTGTGTGTGTGTGTGTGTGTGTGTGTGTGTGTGTGTGTGCGTGCATGCATCTGATACATTTAAGCCAGTAGTAAGAGGAAAGTCTATTTCTTTATTCTTAGTATTAAAGGTAATTACTTTTAATTTGTGGGGATGTTAGGATTAAATGAATGTTATAGCACCTCACTCAGAGACTGATTTAATGAGGATTTTATAATATTAGTGGAAAAAAACTTGGCAATTTTGCCTCTTAGGCTTAAGTTAACTATAATCATTAAATTTAAGTAAAATGTAAAACCCTGTATTTAATTATCATGATCTTTTTGTTATAGAAATTGTCAGGAAATTACAGAATACCTTTCTGCTAATGTTGTATCATTAGAAGATCTCAGAAATGCTATTGACCCAAAGGAAATATGGAGGGGAAAGATTCAGATATGGGAAAGAAAGGTAAATGTATTTCTCAATTATCAGTTTGCAAATCAAGCCTTTCAACTTTATTTAGGACACAGATTTTTTTAATTGAAAAATAATTGATTATACATATTTGTGTGGTACAGTTAAATATCAATACCTATGTACAATGTGTGATGATCAAATCAGGATAATTAACATGTTCATCATTACAAAATGTAACTTTGAGAAGGAGAGAACAGAATTGTGGTTACTAGAGATGGGAAAGGAGGAGGGGGCTAGTGAGAAATTGGTTAATGTGCACAACACAGGTATTTAAATAAATCTTTATGAAAATGTACCTTATAAAGATGTTCTAGAATAGTGCAAAGTACAACTTTCTGCAATAAAGGAAATATTCTACGTCTGTGTTAGTACAGTAGCCCATTAGCTACATATTGCTACTAAGCACTTTATATGTGACCAGTTCAACTGATGAACTGAATTTTTAGTTTTATTTGATTCTAATTGACTTAAACAGTACTATGATTACGTTTTGGGCACTGCAGTTCTAGAATATAACACTTTAAAAACAGAATTTGACATCAATTGAGGTCATGTTGTTTATTCACGTTGCTTTATTTTATTGCATGTGTAAGTTACTGGAAAAACCGTTTAGGACATATTGTAGTATTTCTAATACCACCTTTGGTGATCTCTGCCCTTTTTTTAACCTGCTCTCTGACTTTGAACAATTTTTTTTAACTTTACTAGACCCCAGATTTCTCAACTACAAGATAAGAATATTAGATTAGATGGATCTTTCTATTTCTAAATATCTATGAGGCTTCCTTTCTGCTTTGGCATCTCTTACTATGAATGAGTATGTTTTGTGGTTTTTATAAGTTTTGTTCATTTTGAAATAAATGTTCCTAGTAATTTATGTATTTTTGTAGATTGGCAAAACTAAACCAAGAAAGTTTCTTAAAGTCATTTGGGTGGCATGTAGCATGAGCAGGCCCTTGCATTTCTCTAAAGTTTTTTTATACTCAGTACTGTGCATTTTTCCTGTTCTATTCACCCTTAATAATGATTTAATGAAACCTCTAATAAGACAACAGGAATTAATGTGACTGGGTCTGTCTTGTTGATTTGTATGTTGGTTCATCCTAATCTTGGAAAGGTTAAATCTGTGGGCGAACCTTCTCTGCATGTGGTTTTAATGTAAAAAAAAGGAAAACAAAAGCAAAACTGTGTAGCCAAGTGGAATATACATTAGCTAGGACAATTGCTTTTGTATACATTTCTTGAAACTGCATGTTTACATACAGACAGATAATGGCAGAGTTCATGTGTTTTTCTTACTCTTTTGAATAGGAAATTAAATGTCCATGTCTGCAAAGGATGCATTTAAAACTTGAAATCACTTTTTCTTGGTCGAGAATAGCTTCTAGCCAAGAGGCATTATAGCGATTAAGGACATAGATTCTAGAGTTGGGTTGCCTTCATTCAAATCCCAACTCTTTTTCTTTCTAATCTTTTGTGACATATTGGGTAATACTTAGCCCCTTGGTGCCACAGTTGTCTTCATCTCTAAGATAGTCATAATAATAGTTCTATCTTATACATTTTTATGAGGATTAAATTTTTTAAAGCTCAAAGTAGTCATTCAGTAAGTGTTAGCTATTATCATTGCTGTCATTACTGTTAATAGTACCTTATTATTCTTACTTCTGCAGCAATTGATCTTTTCATCAACAATATATACTGAAGGCAAACTATGTGTGAGATGCTATACTAAGGATCTAGTAGTGAATGAGACAGTTTCTGACTTTACATAACTTACAGACTGGTAGAAAGCCAGATATTGAACAAGTATATGCAAAAGTGGTTGTTTGGTACTGTGGTGGCATAGAATGGGCTTAACATACTTTTGCTGGCTGGTGAAGGGCCAGTGAGAGCTTTTCATGAAAAATTGGCAGCTAAATTGAAATAGGAAGGATGTCTACCTAAATGGAAGAATCGTACTTTGAGCTGAGAAATCAAAAATAAATTTACACATGGTTTTTTTTCCTTAACTTTTACATTATAATAAGATGTGTTAATTTTTATAAGTTTATTGATGATGCCTATAAATATGCTCTTGGTTTCCTTTCAGTTTGGATTTGAAATTAATTTTCCGGAATTTTGTTTAAAGGGAGTCACACCTAAGAATATTAGTATGTCTAATTTAAATACTTGCTTTCTTGCCAAAAAGACAATACCATCAAAGGATAAGAATATTTTGCCAAAGGTAATTGTGTTTACTTTTTTTTTTTTTTTGGGTAATCATTATGTGTATTTTTGTTGCTATAAAATATGTTTGAATCTTGATTTACTATAACTAATATACGTACTTAAGTGTGCCCACTAGCATGATTTTTATTATAGTTAGGTGCTTAAGTTATACTGTGTTATCAGCATTAAATGTTGACAAAACTATCATTGTTTTAGAGTTTTTGAAAAATGTACTTGTTCTAACTTTAAATTATTATAGGCCTGAAACCACCTTTGGTTTGGATGTTACTACATGACCTAAGACTCAGTTTGGAGAGATTATGATATAGTGGAAAGAGGATGGCTTTCTGATATTTAGTAGACCTGGGTTTGAAACCTGACTCTGTCACCTATGAAGTGTTGGGTATAACCCCGGGTAGATTGATTAACTTGTTTATGAAATGGGGGCAATAATAACAAACTTATCTTACAGAGTTATTATGAGGATTAAATGAAGTAAGAGATTAGAATCTGACATAGTACCTGACATATGCTTAATTTATGGTTTAAGAAGTGTTAACTCTCATGCCACATCTTCTAAAGATTATTCCTAAAATGCAAATAATTATAAAATATAATTACAAAAGCGTTCAGTTTGCCTTTTAATTTAAACATTGGAAAAATAACATAAGAAGAGATATGGAAGTACTTCAGAAATTCACTTTAAAAGACCCAGTTTAAGAGTGTGCAAAACATAGTAGTCATGATGTTACAAGGATGTCAAATTGCTAATTAATATTTTCTGATCAAAAGGTGGTACACAAAAGGGCATAATTCTTTACATGAACTCATTTCCCAACATTTGTTTAGAACTGCTTACTGTAAGTAACTTACTATGGCCATCTGTCACAGGAATATTAAATTCTTTTCTAAAGATAAGAATCATAAGATTGATAACCTCAACTTCTTTGGTATTACACAATTCAAGTATGAATAATGTATCTAATTTTTTGTTACTATTGAAGAGAATCTTAGGGTACAACCTATTTAATAATGTAAGATCATCTCTGTCTTTCTGTGTCTCTCTCTAAATGTATACACACACATACTATATATATACACACACACAAGGGTACTTTAAAAAGTTCATGGAATGGTTTGCATTGTCTTTTAATTCTGTTTTTTCACCAACTTTTGAAGTACCCTCATAAGCTAATGTGTGTGTGTGTATATATATATATATATATGTACACATACACACTACATACACATAATTATATATGGTGAAGTTACTCAGCTTTCTGCAAATGTAAGACTTTTTGTAGTTTCTTGATTTTCCACTTAATGTGAAGCACTCTAGCTGCAACTGTTGAAATAACCATTTGGGGGCCGGCTGGTTAGCTTAGAGCTTGGTGCTGATAACACCAAAGTTCTATTTCTGTACTGCCTAGCCACCAAAAAATAAAATGAGAAAGAAATAATGGTCCTTCACTAGCTCATTCTAATTTAGTTTTAGTCTCTACCCAAAGAAGTACTGAAATTTTATTTCTCTGAGTAGAGATTTCTATGTTAATTAATTACCATATGTTGGCTTTACTATTTCTTTAATTTCTTTAGTCTTCAGTACTTTTTTTTTAAATCTCAGCATACCACTCAACCTAAGTTCATCCTGGAGTGGCATTTCTTTCTCTTTTTCAGTCCTGCAGATTCTACCTGCAGAAGTAGGTTGCTAATTTGTTTCTTCAGCACTCTGGCCTCTTGGATCACCTGTCTTGCTGAAGACAAATACCAAAAGTTGAGAACTCTTGTCTTCTGTTGCTTGCTTCTTTCCATATTTGTTTTCTCCTGTTAAAACTCTTTCTGGTTATTAAGAAATCTCCATGTCTATCTCTCTATTCTGAAAGGTAGAATTGAAGTTGAAGAGACTCTTGTCTGCTATGAAGAATTAAATGTTTGGCTTGTATAATTGTAAAAAGTTGCTTTATAAGATCCATTTTAGTTTTAAACCCTTAATCACTAATTTGTTTTACTTTCATTTCATTTATATTATTTAAAATATTATGCAATTTTAATTCTTTTTCCAGGTTTTCTATTACTACGGCCCTGCTTTAGAATTTGTGCAGGTGATAAAATTATCAGATCTACCTTCCTGCTATATGTCCGACATTGAATTTGAGTTGTATCCTTTCATTTACAAGTTCATTTTAGATTTCATTTACTGTGTCAGGTAGAATGTTCAAGTATTGCCAGGTAGATAAATGTGTTAGGTATGTATTCATTTTTATTTCATTTTATTCATTCATTGTTTTAATGTTGATGTCCAGGTAGGCTGCCAGACTCATTGTTGGAGTTCCTGGGCAGGGAAGTTCTTACTTTTTCTACGTCCTGGATCCTGTACCTATCCCATCAGAAATCTTTCTCCCTAGCCAAGCACTTTTATTTTTGTTCAGTATTTATCGAGTATTGTGGGTAGGGCTGTGAAGTAATACAGAAGTGATTGAGCCTTGGTTCTTTGACATATTATAGTGTTCTCTGCCTGAGCACAGGGCAGATTTACTTACTATCTCACCTAGTCTAGCATTAGCTGAAACTCTGTTCTTCCTGGCCTGTGCCCAAACACCCCAATGTACATCTTTTATGTGTTTTTATTTTTGCTATTCTTTTATTTAGTGCTTAATGCTTTTTTTTTTTTTTTTTTTCCTTTTTGTCTTTTTTCGTGTCCAGCAACGGATCGCAACCCTCAGTGTCGCGCCCGCACTGGACCGGGACCGGCAACGGGATCACAACCCTCGGCGCTGCGCCCGCACCTCGCTCAGCCAGTGAGCGGGAACCGGTCTGTATGTGGGATCTGAACCCTCGGTGGGAGCGCCGCCGCGCTCCCAAGCGGCGCACTGTAGCAGTGCGCCACTGGGCCGGCCCGTGCTTAATGCTTTTTGAAAATGATTTCTCTTTTTCCAAAATCTAGGAATGGATCTCTGTGACTTCTATGTTTTTCTCTATATACTGTTTCTGCTGAAGAAATCTATAACTACAATATATCATAGCATATAGCAAACACTCAAAAAATATGGTAGAATGGATGATTTTGTATTATGTTAGCCCAAACCAAAAATGCTCATTATTTTCTTCTGGAAAATTCTTTTCTGAATCAAAGATAACATTTACAAAGGCATAGGAGAACCTCATCCAGCTGAGAACTGTTTGTAGTCTAGCATCACTAAAGATCAGTGGGGGTTTTTTGTTTGTTTGTTTTTGGGGGTTTTGGAGGGATTTTGTTTGTTTGTTTTTGTGGGGGGACTATTAAGAGATCCAGATTGGAGAGGCTTTTCAGATTGATCAGATCCTAAAATACCTAATATAGGATCAGATCCTAATATACCATGATTGGGAGTTAAATTCTGTCCTAAAGGTGATAATGAACTATAAAAAGATTATAAACCAGGGAGTGGCTTAATCAGAAGAAAATTTTAGATCATACTGGTAGGAGTTTGGAAAACTTAGTAGAGCTTGAACTTAAGTGGCATTTGGAGTGGAGAGCCAGGGAAAAGTATAAGATGTGTTAAGGATGTAAAATCAACAAGACATGATCTATGTATTACGGGCAGGGAAAGTAAAGAGACCTGAGGAGTGTAGGTGATTCCTTATGTTGAAATTGGTGCCACTAATTCAGATAACATGAGAAGAAGAGCTGGTCTTATAGAGGAAGAGGACTTAGGTTTGGGTAATTTGAGTAGTAATGTACCATGGGTAGTTTTTAAAAGTTTTATCCATTGTACATATTACTGTTTCTAGCCAGGTAGCCTGCATGCTACATGGCAGTATAACTGTAGGAGTGACCTCCAGATATAAGCTATTATGAATCTTTCTTTTCTCTTCATCTATTAGCAGCTTATAGATCAGAAACTGGATAACATTAGACATATTTGTCTTATATTAGATCCTTGTTTTAGACCAAATGGCTTTCAAGTTGTCTTTCAAGAAAAATCTAGGACTTAAAGAAAACCCTCTGGGTAGTGGGATTGGAAGATAAATTGAGTGAGCGTGGCTTTGGACCCCCTCCTCCAACCACCAGAGCGCACTTCTTTCTGTTCTAGATATCAGGCTTTTAAGTAAGATCGCGCATGGAAAAAGCTATCTGCATCAAAAATGTTTGAAAAGCACACTTCGAACTGTTTTCCTGGTACCACCCCATATTTAGATGGTTGACCCTGTTGTTTTTAAATGATATTTAGTATTCTTTTCATTTTCATTGTTTTAAAAAAGTTCTGCAACTTGCAAAAAAATTCTTCGTCAAGTGCTGTATTTATACTTCTAGAATAGGCAGAGGGCATCCTGGTATTGCTGCTCATTACTTACGGGGTAGAGAAGAGAGAGGAATGTTAGGAATCTGTGGAGAAAAACGAGTAATTTATATACTCATGAAATGTTCAAATGTTTCTCTTGCCATCAACATACTTGATTGGTAAGCACCAGTTGGCTGATCTGTCTTTTTATATACTTTAGTAAATGTAAATGCTATCATATATATCTGCAAATATTCAACATATTTTATACTCTCTTTTAAGAAACAATATCTAAGAATTTTTAGAAATACACCTAAGAAGAAAACATTTTTGTAAAAAGAAATTGTTGGTTGGAAATGGAACACTGGCATAGTGTTCTTGAATTTTTATTCAGAAGCTTCAGTTTTTATAACTTTCTTGTTCTGACAGCTTATAGTAATGCTATTCATAGTAGCACTATTTCTTAGTATGTTTTCAGAATCCAACAAATAATCAGAAAAATAATTATCCTTAAGGAAAGAAGTAATTGTTAATTCCTACAGTTAAATTTTTCAATAAATTAAGAACTTGTGGAAGGATTGAAATCATCAGACTTACTTTAGGGGAGTAGAATCATTTCATAGTTACCATTTTATTATTTCTTTAACTCCTTAGTACAGAGGATTGACAAAAAATACAAAACAGAATTCTGTGTTGCTGTTGGAACAGATTTCTTCTCTGTGTGGCAAGGTATGGAGGGGTTTTTTTGTTTTATTTTTGTTTTTATATGTAACATTTAAGGATGTGTAAGAAAAGAGAACGTAGCTTGTTAATCTGTTTTTGCTTGATGACTTGGATTCTTTAATGTGATATAACATGATTTTGGTCCTAATTTATATTCAGACATTTTGGACTTTTTATAATAACTCAAAGTATCTGTTTTTGCTTGATGACTTGGATTCTTTAATGTGATATAACATGATTTTGGTCCTAATTTTATTCAGACATTTTGGACTTTTTATAATAACTCAAAGTTCTCTGCAAATGTAAAGTGGCATTTTTGTTTTAGAAGACATTTTTCAGAAATAAGCTTTATGACTGATAATTGCTTTAAAGTTTTAAAATTTTACAACACATTCTTGTTAACTTACTCCAACATCTGATTCCAATTCTGTGAGAAGACATTCATATGCCTGCATTATCTTTTTCATGGTTGGGCAGGGGGTGGGAGTGAGAAAAACTTGTGAAGCTTCACTAAATCATCTGTGAGTTTTCAGTTTTTCTTTCCTAATTTTGATGATGTTTAGGAGATATGTGTATATTTTAATAGTTATATAGAATGATATGACAAAATTGATATATTTTTAATTACAATGTAAAGAATTTTAAGTGAATCATCTATTTAAAGTCAAGTATAGTTTTTAATATGAACAAGTAGAAGTTTTACTTTCTGTTATTTATTCAACTATCATGTTTCTATGAAAATAATTTTTAAAACAAAATATTTATTGGCAATAGTTATATAACTTTTATTTTTAAAATAGATTATTATCCAACAATCCTGCAGGGAGAAAATGATTATTATAGTTAAAGCAGTTTCCTTGTGGTGCTATAATCAAATCTTGTTTAAAATTCCTTTAGAAAATTGATATAGCAAAGGAAATGTGATTTTGGCCTTAAGATGCTTGACTATATAGTAACTTAAAATTTTGACTTCTAGACTTTTCTTTTTTCTTCATAAATGTAATAGTCTTTTGAATAGTATACCAAAGTATTGTTTTGATAAAATGGCCTTTGAATGAACAGCCTAAAATATGGTATTAACCTGGTATTCATCCCTTAAGGATAACTAATGTGCTAAATTTTGAAATTAGAAAATTTGTTTTTTATATGTTTCCAGCATATATCCTTCTCTGTGCTAGGCACTGTACTAGATATTGGGTTCCCAGTGATCAATTGTAGAGTTGAAACTTCTATCATCATGGGACTTATTTTGGTGGGAAAATAGAAAGAAATAACTGTAGGTATAATAACTATGAAGAAAATAAACAAACTGACATAGAGAATAAGCCACGAGAACCTATTTTAAATAAATAGTAGTAAAATTATACATTTCTACAGGACTGTGTGCATAGAATTGTTATGAAGTGGTATAGTTTTTTTTTTAAAGTACAGTAAGAATAAAAAATACTCTGTTTCTGTTTTAACCCAAGCAGCTAAGTAGCTCTCTGTATTACCCTATCTAGTCACCTAATTTTCTGAAGCCTCTTTATTCCTTATTCTTTATTCTAGGAAATGAAAATTATTTACCATTTATCATTAATCATCTCATCTATATTATCAAATAAGGGAGGAAAAAAATATGGTATGGTGGATCATTTTACATAGAAGAGCATGTGCTTTAGAAAACTTGGATTTAACTCCAAGTTGAGCTGCTCACAGGCTTACAGATTTTTAAATTGTAAGCTAGAAATAATAATCCCTGTATTACCTATTTCAGAATTGTAATGAAAACCAAATTGGAATATATATTGTGAACTACAAAGTGTGATATAAATGATGGTTGCTAATTAATATTTACTATCTTTGAAATTTATGTGGCTCACATGGTCAACACATATGTAGATATTCTCTAGGTAACTTGAAGATATGAAAAGTATAGAAATTTTATAGAGAAATTTATGGAAGTTTTATAGTTTTTAGTTTTATAGAGAATATTCAAGTCAAAATCAGATATATACCTATAATTTGATTAACACAGGTATAAAATAATTCCTAATTCATCTAGTTATTGATGATAGGCAATACAAATTCTAAAAGCAAGCTAAACGATTGATATTTAATAATATTTCAATTGTTTTGATTTAAATTAGTTCTATTAAATTGGTATTTTTATTGCTTCTTGGACCATCACTGTAAAATATTAGGACACACTTTATTAGTAAGGAATAAATAAATGAGACTTTATAAATATGTTCCCACTTTAGTGCAGAAAAAGGGATAATTTTTGGAAACATGTATTATGTAACTTAGATAATAAATCTGTAAATGTGAAGCAATTTTTCTTTTACATTGGGTTGTAATTTGTCTTGTATAGTTTTGAAAAAAAGTTTTGAATTGTATGCTTATTTCTTGAAATAATTCTAGTGTTTTATGACTTGGTTTTCATTTATTTACTCAACAATTTTTTTTTTTTTAACTGCTCACTATATGCCAGATGCTTGTTCTGAGTATTGGAGAGAAAAAACGTGGATTAGGTCCTTCCTTAGGAACTTTCATGGTGCTTAAATTCTAGTGACTTATGTGATCCTTAGTCAATGTCTGAGCTTAAAAAAATTATCTTTCTATATGTGATTAGCCCCAGAATATAATAGCTTCTTGGAGTAAAGCTTATTTTATTAATAATTAAGCTAGATTAGGAAAAGACAAGATAAGATTGTTAGGGAGTCATGATGTCCACTAATGTTATGGTCAGGAAATCGTTTTTTTAAGAGAGAAATTTGCAAAGCTAGAAACATGTTTATTGTAGTGACTGCTTGTTAGGGAGGACCTACTGAAAAGATTGAATCAAAGTTTCGAAACTTAGGTTTGAAATTGTATTTGGCCTTTAAATTCTGGAGATAGAATGATAGCATAAACGGATCATGTTCAAGTCTTTCAGATGTTACCTAATAATTAGTGGTATGGGTGAGAACAAATTATCAGAATCCAAGTTTGTTATGAATGCAGTATAAATAATTAAAAGATTTACTTTGCATAAACTATAGTTTATGAGATTAAGAAATGCTTATTTTTATATTTGTATCAAATGTTTAATCAAAATTAGTCTGTCTCAAGAATGTGGCCAGTTCTTCAGCTGATGGGTCACAATGAGTTTATATCAGACTTATAAGTTATGCTTTGAACTGCACTTAGTATCCCTAAAATGTTGAGAAACTTATAACGGGGATCCCATCTGTCATAATCACATAACATCCTTGTTGATCTTTTGTACTATACAGTCTTGTCATGTATTTTGGGCTATGAAGTCTTATTTATGCAAGAAAGAAGATATGGGATTTAAAGTTTAGGAAGTTACACATATCTCTTATTTAATGTTTATTTTCTATTGCTAAATATTTTTATTTTTAATGTCTAGTACTTGATTATGTCAAATATATTTGACTTAAAGATTATGACTTTAATAATAAAGAAAAATAAGTATTTAATTTTAACCTTATTTTATTTCTAAAATATTTATTTTTATATCTGTTAATTAAGAATGCATAAGTGAAAATAATAAATAGAAACAAAACTAGCACATTAAAATATTGAGTATCACATATCTCATGTACCAGTACATCTACATAGGACAATTAAAAGTAATTTTGCATCAGCTTTAAGATCTTTGTCAAATACCTTGCCTAAATTTCCCCAGAGTTTTTAAAAAGGAACCGATGCTTTTTATTGTGATATGCTGATTGATGTAGCTACGTTTCTAAAATAACAGGCCAAATATAGCTTTCAGAATTGCAGTTTGTTTTATTTAGCCCTTCCCCAAACTTATAATTTACTTAAATATATTATGGTGACTTTATTGAACAGATATTTAGTAAACACTTGTCTGCCCAGCCCTGGGAATACAAGGATGAATAAGTTGAGTTTGCTCATAAATTAGTCAGAAGCTGCTGTATGTTTTCTAGCATATAATTTGTCTTTTCTCCAGTTTTTACCGATTAGCATTAAATCTCTGATTTCTAGGAACAGAAGTTTCTAAATTGCCTTCTAATTTTGAAGCCAGGACAATAATCCATCTAGTCAAAAGGTTACAAAATTATGGTTGAATATGACAAAGCCTTTTGGTGCTATAACTGCCATCCTCTCTCTGTTTTGTAGATATACAAATACCTTACACCCATAACTTGAACTTGAAGCAAATATCATGAATAACAAGATATTTTCAGAGAATGATATATCAATGGAAAAGGGTTTTTGTCTGCTTTTAGGCTTTTTCTTTTTTTTCTTATTTTTTTTTTTTTGGCAGAGGGTAGGACATTGTTTTTAATTATTTTTAGTTTTTATAGTGGAATTGTTGGGAGAAAGCATTACTAAATATATGTTAAATAAGAGGAATATGAATGGAAAATTGTCATATGGCATTAATCAAGAATGCATCTCAGTGTGCAGTCACTAAAAGTATGTTCTGTTTTATCTAGGTTGGTGCTCTTTTTGTATTGCCATGTACTGTTAGTAATATACTTATTCCACCTCCCAATCAACTCAGCTCAAGAAAGTGGAAGGAATATATAGCTAAAAAGCCTAAGACAATCAGTGGTAAGTAGTACATCTTTAAATTGTTTTAAGGATGCAACCTACTGTATCAAACTTGAAGTGGAGATAACATTTTTTAATGAGAAAATAGTATTTCATATTATTACTACTGATTAGAGAGTTCAGGGCTGGCTGGTCAGCTCAGTTGGTTAGAGCATGGTGCTGATAACACCAGAGTCCAGGTTTTGGTTCCTGTATTCCATCTGCCAAAAAATAAATGAATAAGTAAATAAGGAATCCACATCACTTTAAGATTTTTTATTATCTCCAACAACCTACTATAACAAAGTACTTACAACTGTTTTTATTAAAAATATCAGTGATTTAAAGGCAGAACTTTTGGTTCATTAGATAGCTAGTTAAATTGAATATGGCTTTCTTAGAGACATTTCAGGAATCTGTGAAAATGAAATGGCTCATTTATTATATGGTACATTAAAAAAACAAACCTGTGATTACAACTTTCTGAAGAAATTAGAACTTATTTAACAGCTTAACTATGTGCTGTGCAGTGTTCTAAGTACTTTGGAAATTTTGATTTATTTAATTTTTATGATGTCTATAGATATACTTTTATCACCATTTTACAGATGAGGAAATTGGGGCTTGAAGAAGTTGCACAGCTGTTAATTGGTAGAACCTTAGTTCAAAACCTGGCTCTGCTGGTTAATCTCTGTAACTTCTCCGAAGATTTCAAGCTATGCTCTATGCTCTTCACCACTACACTGTGTTGTCTCTCTAATAATCCAGTACATTCAAGATGTCACTATAAAAATGAAAACTTCTGTTATAAAGTCAGAGATTTTTAAAGTCCAAAGCCTAGTATTTCAGGAAGTAATTGTGGCTCAAAATGTTAAATGTGCTCTCCCAAAGTCACATAGCTAGTTAAAGCATGTAAAACAAAATTGCTTTGGTGTAAGTGGTTTTTTAAAAATTGAAAGATAATTTGTGTAAATTTTTTTGAATTTATAGTTAGTTCTTGTGACTCATGATGTCATAGGATTAAGAACTGTAATTAAAACATGTCTACTGTGACTGTTGTAGAGGAAATCTGTAGAGATATCCCATGGAGCCCTAGAATTCTGATGAATACAATTTAAAGATCACCAGCTTACACAATACTATATAGGAAATGGGGGAGATTCTGAATTCCACTTTAGCAAATGTTGAATTTTATGCAGTTAAGATATCTATATTGAAATTTAAATCTAGAGTTTGAAATTTACATCTAGATATCTAGGGAACAGTCAGGGCTAGAGATTTATATATTGAGTTTACCAGTAATTTTGTTTATCTGTTGTGTAGTAAACCACCCTAAAACTTAGTGGCTTTTTAGAGCAAACATTTTATTTGTATTTACATCTAGATATCTAGGGAACAGTCAGGGCTAGAGATTTATATATTGAGTTTACCAGTGATTTTGTTTATCTGTTGTGTAGTAAACCACCCTAAAACTTAGTGGCTTTTTAGAGCAAACATTTTATTTGCACCTAGTTCTGCAGTCTGAGCTGGGCTCAGGTGGGTGGTTCTTCTACTGATCTCACCAGTGGTCATGGATGTGGTTGCATTGAACTTGTGGATCATTTGGAGGCTAGGTTCAGCTGGTATGCAGAGACAACTAGCTTTCTCTCTCTCTCTAGTTTCACAGTCTTTTCTTTGCCACATGGTCTCTTCACATGATCTCTCTAGCAGATCAGCTAGAATTTTTACATGGTGGCTCAGGACAACTCGCAGAAGTTGAAGCTGCCAAGACGATTTAAGGGTTAGTCCCAGAACTGGTACAGTCTTACTACTGCTGCATTCTATTACTTAAAGCTAGATTCCTTCCAGATTCAAGGAACATGTGATTGTACTAGGGTGTGAATACTGAGAAGCTAACAATGTAAAATTCTCCCATAGGTGCATACAGGTAATAACTAGAAATGGTTGAAAAAAAAAAAACCAACACATAGAGAACATGACTAGAGAAGAGAGGTAACGATAGGGTCTTTAAAAATACCTGCATTTAAGGTGGAAGTGGAGGAAAAGTTAGGAAATGATTGAGTAAATTGTTAGAAGACCTTCAAGAGCTACAATCAATAGCATTGATGTTAAAATATCATTTATTACATTATATAGAGTATAATGCAAGTGTGGGAAATTAAGGAGAGTCAAACTGGGTCCTTACCCTTAAGGAGGTAGATTCCTTTTCTTTGTGAAATTTATAGCCAAGTGAGGAATGCACTTTGAAAAATAACCATCACTCTGTTTAACCAACAGTGTGAAGGCAAAGTGGAGGACACTTCCAGAGTGTATAACCTAACATATCCGCAAGAGCTCAAGGAAGGCTTCCTGGAGGAAGAGACACTGTTAATATAACTTACTGCACTGTACTAGTACATGAATAAGTACATTAACCATTCTCAACTCCTCACAGGAATAAATATATACCTGGTGATTTTGACAGATGCTCAAACAAAATCAGAAATAGATTTGCTGGGTGGCAATACAGTCAATTTCACCTACACTACATGAAATCACAGGATAATACTTATCCATTTCTCAACAATTACATATGTTTAAGACTGATTAACATCTCTTAAGTAAACTTTAGTAAATTCTGGACAGCCCATTTATTACTTATTTTTTCTTTTCTAACTTTCTCAACTTCAAACAGTCATTGTGTTAGAGATTCTCATTTTAAGGTAATTTATTGATTTAGAATTTACTCTTAAATTTTTCGCATGATCTTCATTGTAACTTTAAGAAATATCGTGTGATTTTATTTGATTTTTTAAAATTATCACCTCTTGAAATATGGGGATTAATATTGGTAACTTCTGAATGATAAGACAGATCACATGATAATTTCTGAAGCCAGATTGTTGATTACTGATTAGGCTGGATCATTAAGGGCTGATTAAGCTGACACTTTACAGTATTTTTTTTTATCTTTGAAGTAGAAACAAAATCAAATTGGACAGTTGATTATTAAGTTCTATTCTACCCGCAACCCTTTCCTAGGAGAAATTCTTTACTTATTCCATTGACAGTACTCCTTTTGTAAAAATACAGAAGCTAAGTTTTAGCTAGTTTCAATAAATAAAAAAGTTTCAATAAATCTTACACTTGGAAGACTTCATATCCCTGTCCCAATACCACTAACGATAGACTCTCTCACTATCCCTAAAAATATATAAACACTCAGATCATCCTCTTGCACCTGTTTCTTTAAAACCTCCTGAATTATGTGGAACTGTTCTCTCTTATTGCCCTACCTGTTCCAGATCTCCAAACTAAACTTCATACTGTTTTCTAAAACTATTCCCTGGTTTTATTCCTTTGTGACTTTGTTACTTCATTCATTTAGTCTGCGTCAGTCGTATGTTACATTCATTTATTTGAATGTGGAGTAGATTTTGTGCAGGCATGGTACTATAATCTGGGGATTAGTGATTGATATAGACTTGGATATTCCTCTCATGAATTTATACTCTAACACAGAAAATAGATATTGAGAAGTAGTTAATGTCTTATTATAACATAGTTTTTAGTAGCAACTGATTAGAAACAATCTTCAAGACATACGAGTATTGAGTGAAAAAGACAAGGTTATGCTACAATTTGTAGAAAAAACAACTTACTGTGTGTGTTGAGTATTTATACATATTTGTTTGTGTATGCATTAAATATCATTTTTTCAACAGATATTTTTAATTGAACACCTGTAATGTACTAGGAACTGTTTTACATGCTGAACCAGCAGTAAGTGGAGCAAAATCCATGCTCTAATGGAAGTAACAGGTTTAGTTCTTCCCCCAGATAGCCAAATGTCTAGGTCTCTCAATTTTTTCAGGCTTTTACTCCAGTCATTTTTCTCGTTCAGGACCTATTTTGCCTTCCCATCTAAAGTTTCAAACAGACACTTCTCCTGACATTATATCCATCTTCCCAGATTTATTTTTTTCTCCCTAATACTTACCACTATGTAATATACTAAATGTGTATCTGCCTGACACTTAATAACTATTCAAAAATATTTGGTAAATAATAAGTGAAGTGTATATTTCCAGGTAGTAATAACTGCCATCCAGACAAATTAAGAAAGACTTTGAATGACTCCTTACATGCAGTGTGAACCAAAATTTGTGTCCTGGCATTTACCAGTTCCCTAGGTTTTATCCCTTCACGAAATAAAATGCACATGTGTTAGTTTGAACCATATAACATAATACTTTTTATATATCAAAAATTGTTAAATATTAGCTCTAGACATGCTTCTACACTGACAACAAGAAATATTTAGTAGATGATGTTCTCTTCTCAATTCTGCTGCCTCTGAAATTGCTGACATTTGTAACATCATCAATAGATGTGGAGGCCAAAAACGAATTGCATGACGTGTACAGTTTGATTTCCTTATCAAGGGCCAGTTTCTGTGAATGCCCTTGGTCAAACACATGGGACTGGAGAACATCTCATCAGAAGTTGTGAAACTAGAGCATGTGGAGAAGTACACTGCACCCCACCCAGAACAATGCATGTTCCATGATGAATGGATCAGTTCAGTTAAAGGAGCAGAGGAATGGATCTTGACTGGTTCTTATGATAAGACTTCTTGGATCTGGTGTTTGGAAGAAAAGTCAATAATGACAATAATTACATTGGTAAAGATGTGACATGGGTGAAATAAAGAGTTTGTCTTGCTTACTACTGAGGGCTTCTATGGATCAGACTTATGGGAGTGGAATGTAGAGAGAAAGAAAGTGAAAGCCCTACACTGCGGCAGAGGTCATGCTGGAAGTGTGGATTCTATAGCTGTTAATAGCTCTGGAACTAAATTTTGCAGTGGCTCCTGGGACAAGATGCTAAAGATCTGGTCTATAGTCTCTACAGATGAAGATGAAATGGAGGAGTCCTCTAATCGACCAAGAAAGAAACAGAAAACAGAGCAGTTGGGACTAACAGGCATTCCCATGATGACTCTGAACATAAGGAAGCTGTTTCCTCAGTTCCATGATCAG